GCTAAAAATTTCTAATGTAAGACTAGACTAGACATGAGTTCAGTTACTAAAAGGATGAATGATTAACTGTGAGGGAATCAACTCCTTCTGCAGATAGGAAACGTTAAAACTTGTCAAAACGTCTTTACAATGATAAAGTTCTTTAAAAGGAAGTCTTCTGAATTCCAACTCGTATGTTTAACATGTTCCCAGGGCAGGGTTTTTGCTATTTTACCATAAAGGAGAACAAGGGGCCGGTGGATTGCTCAAAGGGTAGAGAGGCCTGAGGACCTGAATCCAATCCCCAGAACACAGGAGAAGCAGAGAAGACTCAAGAAAGCTCTTCTCTCCTCTTCTATGTCTCAACATCTTTAAATAAAACCAGGTATTTACCTTATCTCTCACCATATGAAAACCTCAAAATGTATCCGAGATTTAATATAACAGCTACAGTTACAATGTTTAAAGAAAATAGAAAAAAAAAACTCTATAATGTTGGGTAAAGATGTCCTAGGTATATATACACCAAAGGCAAAAACCAATATAAAAAGAAACCACTAAAATGTAAAAGTTTAGCCAGGTGTGGTGGCTCAAGCCTATGGAATCAAAATCCTCAGGAGGCAGAGGCAGAAGGATTACCTCAAGTTCAGGCCAGCCAGAACAACATAGCTAGACCCTGTCTCAATCCTATCTCAAAATAAATTAATAAAAAAAAATTTAAGCAAAATTTCTAGAGCCAAGCAGTGGCACACCTCCAACACACCTCCAACACACTTGGGAGGCAGAGGCAATAAGATCTCTGTGAGTTCGAGGACAGCCTGGTCTAAATGGGGAGTTCCAGGCCAAAGCTGTCTGGTGATAACTTGTCTTAGGAAAAAAAAAGAGAGGGAGGGAGATGGGGAGGGGGAATCTCCCAATCCTGAGGAGAGCCTTGCCTCAAAAAAAGGTGCAAAGAACACCCCAAGAGCAAGAATTAAAGATATGCGTGTGGACATCTAATAAGCAAACATCAACAGACCTCCACAGCATCGGTCCTCAGAGAGATGCAGCAGACACCGCTTCCCATCCACTAGAACGGATGGAATTCAGCAGCCAGCACACGTTTAACACGTGTGAGGTTCTGGGCTTGCTCCCTTCAACACACATAAACATTCACATAAACAGAAAAAGACAAATTGCATACTGCTAAGTTGTAGAGAAATGGGAATTCTCCACAGTAGAATATTGATGGTATGAGTACTTTGCAGAACCATTTGGCAATTTATGGAGAGAAGTTAAACTTACTATTATGGCCTTGCAATTCTACTCCTGAGCTTGTGCAAGAAAAATAAAACATTCCCAAGAAGACTTAATGTAAATACTAATAGCTTTATTCCAAACAGCCAAGGAGCAGAAATAATCCAACATTCATCAACTGGTATCCAATGAGAAGGAACTGTTACTTGGTGCTAGAGACAGCAAAGTGCCCAAAGTAAGAGATAACAAAGATCAAGGACTACATATTAGATGATTAGTCTCCTATGAAATGTCCAGAGGGCAAACCCACACAGACAGAAAGCAAAGTTCTGGTTGCCTGGGGCTGGGGTGGAACAGGGAGTTACTGCAAATGGACGTGAGGCATCATTCTGGAATGAGAGAAATGCTCTAAAGCTGGGTTGTGGTGAAGACCAAACTCACTAAAGTATTACTGAACTGGACACTTTGATCAGGCTGATTTTAAAGGATGTAAATTATACTTTCACAAACGTTTTTAGGAAAGTAAAAATAGTGTGCTATGTGACAGAAGCCAAACAGCAAAGGTCACATTATTATATGGTCCCATTTAAGTGAAAAATCCATAAACAACAAACCTATAGACAAAAATAAATTTGTGGTTGCCTGTGACTGGGGACAGGAAGTACAGAGGAATCTCACAGGGATAATGGGAATGTCTAAAACTGGATGATGTGATGGATAAAGTAAGTTTACCCCCACCAAAAAAAAAATCACTAAATGTTGTAATGACTGAAACTCGTGGTATTAAACCATACTTAATACAGTTTATTTTTATTTTTTTATCTAAGAGTATATATGTTATGGTTTTCTGTCTCTTTAAGAGACAAGCCACGCCCACTCCGATCCCCCCCCCCCATCCGCTGAGGCAGGCTGATCTCCAGCTTCCGGCCTGAGCTTGCTCTTTTCCATCTTCGCTTCTGCCTCTCTCCCCACTCCTCTGCTTCCCCCCTTCCCTGTTCTCCTCTTCTCTCTCTCTCTCTCTCTCTCTCCCTCCCTCCCTCCCTCTCTCCCTTTCTCTCTGTCCCCCCCTTCACCCTTCCCCCTCTATAACCCCCTGAATAAACATTCAACCTCACCCTGCAAGTCGTGTCTATCCATGTCTCTGTCTTCTGCCCGCCCGCCATGTGTCTCCCTGCCTGGGACCAGCAGCCGTCTCTGCCTGGGACTCGCTGCTCCCAGGGCCCGTTGCCTGCCACCACATGGCCCGCCACCACAGATCAGGCCACCGCTCTGGGACGGGCAGCCATTTCTGCCTGGGACTGGCTGCTCCCAGAGCCCGCTGCCTGCCACCACATGGCCCACCACCACCATTTGGGACCTACAGCATTTCTGCTGCCTACTGCCGCGGGGATCTGCAGCATTTTTTAAAAAAGAACAATATATGTGTATGTGTGTGTGTATTCGAATGGCATGTATGTGCGGGTGGATGCCTGAGACCAGAAGAGGTCATCAGCTCTTCTGGAGCTTCCATTACAGGTAGCTGTGAGCACCTGACACAGGTGCCAGGATCCAAGCTCAGGTCCTCAGGAGAGCAGTAGGTGTTCTTAACCACTAAGCCATCCGTCTCTCCAGCCGTCAATGACCAAATCACACTGGTATTCTTAACCTTCTGATGAAGCTTGGACCACTCTGTGGTCCTTAGAAAACTAAGGCTCCCCTCCTATCACCCACTCAGACATTCTGTTCTATAGTTCTGACTATACAGAATTAATGTCACTAAATCTCCACAGCCCTTGTAACTCTGAAAGTTTGCGGCTCAACTGCAAAAGCATCAAGAATGATCACGACTGCCCCTACAGTTAGGCTGTGGAAATTAGGAAGGATGTACACCCCACCAGAAAGAAAAGCAATGCTATTCTTCCAGAACAATAATAGGGACTCTTTATTTTTTCTGACATCATTCTGGAATCTCCCAGTTAAATATGGGAGATTCCTTCAATATGAAATTTAAAGTCCCAAGCAACTGAGATGTGGCAGCTAGCTCAAGCAGTACATGTTAAGGACCCAACATGCAGCAAGGACAGAGCCATGAAATGACCTAAAGATCAGACACACTTTATGTTTTATTACACTTCTATGGGGAGAGCGGTGGCAGACGATCAGGCTTGGCATGAGTGCCCTTTACCTATTGAACCATCTTATTAGGCGGCTGCTATTTTTTAGCTAAAACTTGGCCCACGTTGTTGGAAAACAGGGGACCAATAAAGTATAAAAATGAAATTTAGAGAAATGGAGGCAACAGGATAAAGAATTCAAGACCAGCCCCAGCTATACGGCAAACTTGTGGTCAGGCTGAGCTACCTGAGAGCTCCCCTTAAAAGGAGAGTGGGGCGAAGAACTGGGGAGATACCTTAGTGTAAAGGCCTGCTGAGTTTGGATCCCCAGCACCCAGATTCGTAAAGAGCCTGTAATCCCGCGCTGGAGGCAGAGACTCTCTGGAGTCTCACTAACCAGTCAGTCAAATGGTGCGTTCTAGGTCAACTAATGAGACTCATCAAAAAATACAGTGGAGCACAAACAAGAAAGTCTATCCTCTACTGCCCGCCCGCAGGTGCACATACACATAGAAATTTGGTGGGTAGCCTCCCCTCCTCCCCCAGAACAGAGTTTCTCTGTGTATCAGCTCTGGCTGTCCTGGAACTCACTCTGTAGACCAGGCTGGCCTCTAACTCAGAGTGAGCCTCTAGCCTCTGCCTCCCAAGTGCTGGGATGGGCATGTGCCACCACCGCATGGCAGGTTGTTTTTCTTTCTTTCTTTTTTTTTTTTTTTAAACACAAGCAGTGCAATAAAAACGTGCACCTTTAAGGACGCTACGGGATCTTCCGGCTGGTCTCTGTTATAGAACTACTTCTAAGGCAAGATGCTGGCCGCGTAGACAATCTTTCACACTCAGAGGTCTGCTCACGTCAGCTGATTGAGCCTTTGTTTAACTAAACCCAACCCCTTCTGATGTCTATGGTCACTGTGTCTGTCATTACAGTGCTACAAATCTTCCCCTAATCCCGGGCCCCTAAACATCTCCTCAAGCACTATGCGCCTCTGCGAACGAAAATCCTTGGTTGGTGACAGTCAACCAGCATTCCCAGACCCTATTCAGGTACACTCAACACACGGTAACGAGAGTTAGGGATCACTCCATGGATCAACCAAGGACATATAAAACTCCCAGATCCTTACCGTGGCCTCAAAGGTCCCTGAGATCCAAGTGAACTTAGCAAGCACTTTCTTTCTCCTCGGGATCTTCCTATCTCCTCACCCCTCAATTGGGGGGACGGGAGCGAGCTTCCCTCAGCTCACTTAAAGACTCAACAAGTCTTCACCCCAGAAGAACAATTTTCCTTGAAATCAGCTGCCTGGTCCAAGCCATTCCTTATTATAACTCCTCTTGCCCGTTTCCTCCCTGCAAGGCCGGTTACAGCTTTTCTACTTAGTTAACGCCGAGGAGCCCTCTGTAAGGAGCCAGAGCCGGGTCTATGCAGCTCAGCACCGGGTACCTGCAGCCTCCCTCAGCCCCACCCCTGCAGCCGAGCACTTCGAGTCGCCGCGCGGAGGCAGGAATGGACTCAAGTGCCCACAGCCCACAAGCCCGGGGACACACTGCTCTCGACCAGGCCTGCCGCCCATCCACACGCCTTTCTGCACTGGACACGTCTGTCCCAGATACGCCTCTCTCCGCGGAGGGAGCCCCACCCTAGGCGCACGCCTCGCACCGGTGCCCCGCAAGGCTTGGGCCCTCGGCTCTCACCGATCACCTCCTGCAGCTCGTAGTCGTCCCTGTTGATGGACCAGGGCAGGGCGCTCGAGTCTTCAGACATGACGGCCGCTGGCAGCGCCTCGCTCGGCGCTCCCTCACGCACGGGGCTCTCGGGGTCAACTCGCCGCACGCCTCCCTCACGCCCAGCCGCCGCCCCCCACCAGCCGCCTGGCCCAGCCTTGGGGCGCACGACGACGGGGCGCGCGGGTCGAGCGCGGCCCCGAGGCGGGGACGCGCGGCTGCGGCCGACGTCGTCTCCTGCGGCTCCGCGTCCCGCGGTCCCTAGCCCGGCCCACGAGCCGGCCTCAGCCTCCGCGGCACCGCGACACGAGCTTCTCCCCGGCCCTGCCCCTCCGTCCCGCCCTCCACCCGAACCCCAAGCACGGGCCAAACTTTCCCTTCTCCCTCCACCTGCCGGCACGCTGCGCGCTGACGTCACCACGCTGGGGAAGCCTCAGCCCGAACAGCCGCCATCTTAGGTGTGGCGGTGCAAGCGGCGAGCTAGGGAGGAGCCGGAGAAGGGGAAGTCGACAGTCGGAGGGAAGAAATGCTCATGAAGGGGTTCTCTGAGGGCGTCCGAAAGCCAAGAGGCAGCCAACAGCCTCGGAACGGGGAGCCACACTAAGCATGGCGGCCACTGAGCACCCAGCGAAGGGGGCGGGGCTTCCTGTAGCGGCTGAGGGACGTTGCGGTCTTCACGTCTCACTTATTGGTTGGTTTGAGGAAGCGTGAAAAGGGCAACTGGTGGGAGCGGACATCAGTCATACGTTAGTCCCGCCTTCAGGCGCTTGCCTTCGCTCTTCGGCCGCAGCGCTAAGACCTTTCAGGACTCTGGTCTCTGGGTGACGTCACGGCGTCACCGTCACACCCTCGCAACGTACAAACCGTTCCCCAGGGTGTGGAAAGCCCAGGGGAGCGGCGGGGTGGGGTTCGGGGACCACAGCCAACTAGGATAAAAGGTCTTGCGCTCCCCTTCCCCTCCCCCCCCGTGGAACCGGAAGCTCGGCCCGTGATGACATTTTTTTTTTCCTAAGGCGGAAGTTCTCTGCGCCGCCTCCAGGATCCGGGCGGGAGTGAGTTGTGTCTTTTCTCAGCTTGGAGTGCGAAGAGCCAATGAGCACCTGCCTCGGGACCTTGGCTGGTCGACTCTGCCCAGACACCGCCTTTACTGTGCAGGGAGATTTTTGTCACGCGCCTTGGGGTCATTTCAAGGGCCCTGTCTGTGGTCATCCTTGCCGTCCGTTTTCTCGGCCTTAGGGTAAAATGGGGGAGACGGGGGACGGACATAAAAAGATAAACCTGGGTAGGAACGGGTTTTCAGCCGAACACCTCAGTGCGGGCCCTGCCGAGCTCTCCAGAAGGAAGTCACTGAGCACAGCGGTTTATGGGACTTGTAGACCATCTCAGGAACAGAGGCATTTGGGCCAGCCCATGCAGAACTAAGGTGATTTCAACAAACAGAATGTTCCAGTCCTAACAGAGGTGCAAGGTCTGGCTATGGGATTTGTCTGAAGCATTGCGGATGGCATATCTACCGCATGTGATAACTTGTACTGGAAGAAAAGTGAAAAGTAGCGTGAAGAGGAAGTGGGGAGGATTAGAATTCTCAAGGTTTGTACCAACAGAAAGATCAGCAAACCAAAAATCATCTGAAATTGTTGGGCTTTGTGGACCACGGACAGACTTTACATCTTTCTTTCATTACCTCGAAATGGAATAGAGTTGATCCAGGGTGCCTCCTCTCCTGTCTTTTTTCCCTCCCACCAAGAAAAGGAACTACCAGGCTCATGGTGAAATTTCAAGATACTGGGTCTAAATTATCGTTAGATGTCATCACTGTACATTAATGAATTAATTCACTAAACATTCTTGTTTACTTCCTCACACTTGAGAGTTAGTGGATTAATGGAGCTGGAACCTGCTCTAAAGAGGACATTTTATTTCCCCTCTCCCTGACTTTCTCTCTGTGGCCTAACAGAGGTCAGTTACACCACCATGATTCTAATGAGCAGGGAAGCAAGGAATTGAGGATTTTGAGGCCACAAGCCCAAGTTCCAGCCTCTTTTTCAGCCTCTAGAGTATCTTCCATGTGATACTGTCTTAAAGGCGACAGAATGTACTTAGTTCCTTTTCTTTTTTCTTTCTTTTTTTTTTTTTGGTGGAGTTTTTGTAGTGAACAGTAGACAGCTTAAGGAAACTAATAGATAAGCAGTTATAAATCATAAGGTACCATACAGGAAAGGTGGACTATGATAAACAGCAAATAATTAGGGAGCCCAGCTATAAATTGTGCTTTAAATAAGGTAGTTTTAAGTCTTATAAAACTATTAATAAAATTATGATGGATTCCACTTATGCTTGTTGCTCCCCTGGTAATCATTTTTGGGAAGAGAGGAAGGGAAAGGGAGAGTGGTTCTGGAGTCCTGCCCCTTCTATCACAGACCCCATCTCCTACCCTGCTTGCCTGAGAATGTGGCATATTTTCCTTGGGAGGAGAACTCGTTTTCCCACATTCTAGGTTAGTTTAGACCTCTTCCTCCCAAATCAGGCTCTGAGACGGAATTTGAAAAGTTTATTGAGGGGGTGACCTCAAGAGGCAGGCCCTTGAATGGAAGAGTCAAGAAAAGGGATGGGTGATCTTTGGAGGGTGCACCAGTGAAGGCTTAGTGTGTGGGGGATGGGCTTAATTCTGCTGAGTGCATCCTAAGAAACTACAGAACACAGCAGGGAGTGGGGGTGCATCCCTTTAATCTCAGCACTTGGGAAGCAGACCAGGCGGATCTCTGTGAGTTTGAGGCCAGCCTGGTTCTAGGACAACCAGGGCTACAAGAGAAACTCTGCCCTGGAAAAAGAAAGAAAGGAAGGAAGGAAAGAAGGAGGAAGAAGAGGAAAGAAACTATAGAACAGATCGCAGAATTGTTCTATTAAGAGACTAGAAACAAGGAAGGGGCTAAGAATATGTCTCATTCATACAGTTCTTACTAGCCTAGCATAAAGACCAATCCTCAAGAGCATAAGGGAGGAGGAGGAAGAAAGGAGAAATATTAACCAGGAACTTATTACAGTGATAGCTCTCCCATACCCTTCCCCAGCTCAGTGCCTGGAGGAGCATGCTTGTAGGGTGGAGAGAGAACAGTCACAGATGTAGAGAGAGCACAGTCACAGATGTAGAGAGAGCACAGTCACAGATGTAGAGAGCACACACAGTCACAGATGTAGAGAGAGCACACACAGTCACAGATGTAGAGAGCACACACAGTCACAGATGTAGAGAGAGCACACACAGTCACAGATGTAGAGAGAGAACAGTCACAGATGTAGAGAGCACACAGTCACAGATGTAGAGAGAGCACAGTCACAGATGTAGAGAGAGCACACACAGTCACAGATGTAGAGAGCACAGTCACAGATGTAGAGAGCACACACAGTCACAGATGTAGAGAGCACACACAGTCACAGATGTAGAGAGAGAACACACAGTCACAGATTTGTCTCATGTACCAAGACTCTCAGAAGGCGAATATTGCAACAGGCCCAAGAATATGACCGATCTATACAAAGCCTCTACCGCCGTGCATCACTGGATTGAGAAACCAGGTGTGACAGCATATTCATGCTTTCTCACTTAGGCCGCTGCCTGGCTTGAGTTTTGCCATTAGCAGCTTTAGGATAAAGAGGGAAAGACCAGTGACATCTTGGGTGATCATTAGCAGGTAATTATGGAGTTTTATAGGCTTTTTAAATAAAAGAAATAACTTTTGAAGTCTAGAAATTAGTGGGTACCCCCTGTGAGGAACCTGAATTTTTTTTCTTCTTCCTTGGAAGAACGAGAGATTGAACTAGGACTTCACACTAAGCAAGAGCTGAGGCACTGAGCAACAGCTCTTTAGACTGTGTGAAGATGTGTCACTGTGATTGGGTTAATAAAAACCAAAACGGCCAATAGCTAGGCAGGAGGTCTAGGCAGGCCTGCTAGACAGAGAGCTCTGGGAAGAAGAAAGGGGGAGTCATTAGGCAGCCACAGAGGCAGCAGGATGGGCAGTACAGAGTAAAGGTAACTGAGCCACATAAAAGAACATAAACAAAAATATGGGTTACTCTAAGTCTGAAGAACTAGTTAGGGGGCTGGAGAGATGGCTCAGCAGTTAAGAGCACTGGCTGCTCTTCCAGAGGTCCTGAGTTCAATTCCCAGCAACCACGTGGTGATTCAGAACCATCTATAGTGAGACTGATGCCCTCTTCTGGTATAAAGTTGTACATGGAGCCAGCACTCATATACATAATAATAAGAGCTAGTTAGGAACAAACCTAAACTAGAGCCAAACTTTCATAATTAATAAGTTCTTGTGTCATGATTTAGGTGCTGGCGGGCCAAAAAAAAAAAAGTCTGTCACACAGCTCTACTCTTCTGAATATATTTTTAAGAGCACAACTTTTTATGAATCTGTCATGAGCTGGTTTTTTTTTTCCCCCTCAATTCCTATCAGACCCCGGGCTAATTATAGACTGCTAGAGTCTATCCCTCCCATGGAGCCCTTTTTACATGCCACATGAAAGATAATGCCATTTCTTCTTCCAGGAAGGGACAATAACCTTGTCGTGGGTCTGAGGCTCCAAAACAACCCAAGCCAACACAAGAGGTCACACAAATCAGGACCTACTACTGAGCGGCAAGGCAGAAACTGATGAGTCAGGGACAACGGGACAGACTTCATCCCAGTGTTCAGGAGGCAGGGGCAGGCGGATCTCTGTGAGTTGAGGCCAGCCTGGTCTACAGAGTGAATTCCAGGACAGGCTCCAAAGCTACAGCAAAACCCTGTCTTGAAAAACAAAACAAAACAACAACAACAAAAAAAGGCCAGCCTAGTCTACAAGAGCTAGCTCCAGGATGTGCTCCAAAGCTACAGAGAAACCCTGTCTTGAAAAACCAAAAAAGAAAAAGAAAGAAAGAAAAAACAAACAGGAATCAAGGCACTGTGACACAACCCTCTGATCCATGCACTGGGAAGGTAGTGGCAGAACAGTTGGAAGGTTCAAGTTCTTGGTTACGTAGCAAGTTCAAAGCTAAGACTCTGTCTTAAACAAAATGCAGCTGTGTGGTGGTGTACACCTTTAGTCCCAGCACTCAGGTGGCAGATACAGATGGGTGTCCTCAAGGCCAGCCTGGTCTACAGGGCAACTTCCAGGACAGTCGGAGCTACACAGAGAAACCCTGTCTCGAAGAGTAAAGATCACTGGGATCCATGGGAGACCTCCTTCTGCTCCTTACCCAGCTCTTCCTCTCTTCAAAGTCTTCACATTCTCTCATCCCTCTAATGGGGAGTTATAAAGGGATCTTTCTAGATTCTTCAGACTCACTTCAGGGCTCAACTCCTACAACTTCATCTCATAAAAACATTGTCCTT